CACGCACTACAGCGTGCTCTAAGGCTCTGGTGCTTGTGCAACCACCAAACATCACTTTCACCAAGAGCAACTGGCCAATGGTTGGTGAGGAAATAAGTGCTGAGTAAGCAGAATTCTCCCTCCCCAAAAGACCACAGCACCCTTTCCCCTCAGACTATGAGAGAGCACAGTCGCAGACATACATCACTGCCAGCTGATCCACAGCCCATTCCCATCTTGCTTGTCCTAAGGCCATTAACGTCCATCTTCTCTGTAATCAGAGGGTGTGACGACGCAGGAAATCAGAAGTCAGGTAAACAATCCAGAGAGCTCTCTAAAAACAAACCCAAAGAAGAAACGCAAATTTGTGTAAAAGGTAGTAGCAGAGAGACAGAAATCCCTTTGCAACAACTGTATCACTGGGGTCATTCAGCCCAGCAGCAGGCACCATCAGAGGACTCCTTCCAGTTCTGTGCCTCACAAAAAACACACACAGCAGTGGAGCAGAAGAGAAAATGAAATTAAAAGAGAAAACCAAGCCACCAACACAAGCTGATAGCGAGGAGAGCCACATTGCATGTCTCTCACTCCAGACGCAAACAGAAGCTGCACTACTGAGGTTTACCCATAACCATTAAGGTAGAATACAGTGGGTACGAGCATTTGGATTTTTACTCTACAGAAAAATGTAAGATTATGTATAAATGTCCAAAGCTTACCTGTTCTCCCAACACACCATGCTAGCAGAACTACAAGGATCCCATTGATCCCTTCAGCTGCGGGGCAAGAATCCAGCCCACGCGAGGGATAAGCTGGCTGTCTCCAGGGGAAGCCACACAGACCAGTACACTGTGGCTTCAACAGGGACCAATCTTTGGGCTCAGCTGGCACAGAAACAGTAATCCACAGCTTCCTCATGAAAGTAAGCATTTAAGCATTTATCCAAGGTCAAGGAAACTTATGAAAAAAAAATTAAATTAGGCCTAGCATTAGAAGACGTCGGCATATTTTCTGCCTAGGTACTCAACCTTTACCTGAATGTTTGTCACAAAGCCAAATTCAAGAATCAATTCCAGTTTGAGCATTTTTGTTGTTTGCATTGTGTTGGACGTTGGTCATGGGTATGGTGCAACAGTGGCCAGTTAATACCCAGTGTTAAAATCCTTATGTCACGAAGCTCGCTTCACTCACAACATTGCATCAGTTTCAGTTTGGTGCAACTCTAGTAGAGTTATTCTAATGTAAGACCACAATAGCAGTAGGAACTGGGCTTGTTCTCACCAATCAATTCCTTAAAGAGCATTTCTTCCAAGTAAAAGCCAGGCCCATGAGTAAAGCTTCCAGTCTTCGTATAATCCAATTGAGGGTTGTAGTTCCTCCCAAGTTTGGCTTGCTGGCTGTCCATCTGCTCTGCTTCCTTCCACTGAGCAAAGCTGGCACAGAGAAATGAACTGTCACATCACGAGACTTCACTTCTGCCTACCTACACTTCTTCCTGGTTTCAGACATCACCAGCCAGCCACAAGAATGATGCTCTGCAGCCTGCCCACCTGGCTTGTCCCACGCGACGGGGAACTCTACGCATGCAAACACGAGCAGTCTGCAGGACATCCCTGTGGTGGTCTGGCGGTGGCAGCCAGAACCCCAGCACAGCCCCAGAACACTCACGGTTTGCCTGTGCAGCTTGAAGCTAGGTGACACAAACTACCAGGAGGTTTTTCTGAAGAATCAGCTTGTGTTAGTCCCTCTTGTCCTTTTCCTTCAACAGATTATTTTAATTGTTTGCCGTTTATATTTTGTCACAAAACTGGGAAAGGCAATAGATATTGTCTATTGAATGCCCATGTTTCTAGCAAAATAAGAGAGTCAAAATCTAACACTAATTCAGCTTAATACGTGTTTGTGAGTACTAGTTCGTAAAAAAGTATCGTACTGCACCACTTAGATTTGCATTTACCTCCCAAGACCCAGGCACACATACTAACATACCACTTCTACCATACAAATGAAAGGAATGTAAAAAAGCTTTACAACAGCAACATTCTTCATCCCTCAAATCGTCTCCTATACATCAACATTTAGGTTAAAGCTTTGAGAGACAAACTGTGAACCAAATATAAGCAGGCTTACAAGTCGGTTGGGCCAAAGCATGTATTGTCAGGAGGCACCATCCTGCCGTGTGACCCACCAATTCCCAGGGCTGCTCGTCGCCGTTTAACCCCAGCCAGCAGCTCAGCACCAGGCAGCCGCCTGCTCACTCCTCCCCATGGGGTGGGGGAGAGAATTGGAAGGGCAAAAGCGAGAAAGCTCATGGGTTGAGATAAAGGCAGTTTAACAGGTAAAGCAAGAGCAGCGCACGCAAGCAAAGCAAAGCGAGGAATTCATGCACTGCTTCCCATCAGCAGGCAGGTGTTCAGCCATCTCCAGGAGAGCAGGGCTCAATCACGCGTAACGGTTACTTGGGAAGACAAACGTCATCATTCTGAGTGTCCCCCCTTCCTCCTCCTTCCCCCAGCTTTATATGCTGAGCAGGACGCCATATGGCATGGCATATCCCTTTGGTCAGCTGGGGTCAGCTGTCCCGGCTGCGTCCGCTCCCAGCTTCTTGGGCACCCCCAGCCTACTCGCTGGCGGGGTGGGGTCAGCACTGTTTTCAGCACAAATCCAAAACACAGCCCCATACCAGCTACTGTGGAGAAAACTCACTCTACCCCAGCCAAAACCAGCACACTGCTGTTTGTCTCTGCCCAGTCCAGATGTAGGCTTCTTGCAGTTTCACATGCACACATACATACACGCTGCTTCAATGAGAACTGAGTGTTTGAAGTTCTTAAACAAAATGCACTTAAGAGTAACCTGGTACATAGATGCTTTATTTCTGACATTAATATGGCCTGTATTGTATGTGAGATTCTCTTACAGGAAAGAAAAGTTTGTAGTACAACAAAAACTAAGATAAACAAGGCATTTGTTGCACGTTATGTCAAACCTTAAAACAAAAATATGGAGTAATATGTATTTAGGTTTCATGCAAGTTTGGCTGCTGCATGTACAATCTACTTATGAACTGAAAGAAATGCAAATGCACACAACATTCAAAAAGTAATAAAAGATGCCTGACGTATGAAAGATTAAAACCTTCCTGCTAAAGCAACAAAGTAGGAGTTAACTAAACGATCCAACCAATACCAACACAAATTAATACTACTTACAAATAAATTTATGCTTAAACTTGGTACAGGCAGTTTTAGCGATACCACTGCTACTGAAATATATCATCCAGATTCTAGATATTTGTTCTTTCTCAATGTCTTACTTCCTTTTTTGTCAATTAAATGCTTTCTCCAGTATTAAATGTTGCTGTTCAATCCATTCTGGTAATGCACACCTAAATCTAGTACTGCCAAGAATTCCAGTTGCCTCCTCTCAGTTTTCATAAGTGAGGAGTAATCCTGGCATGCTGGGTACTTTCTGATCCCCTTGCTTACATAGGATTCCCTCCCCTTAAAATTTTGATGTGAATTAAAAACTGCTAAAAATGTTTATGCCTACTACTATCGTAGCCAGGCAAATATTTAATATCAAAAAGCTCCTAAAAATAAGGATTGTATAAGCTTTGAGATGTTTAAAAAAATTTAATAACACATTACCTTCCTTGTGCCACTCATCACGTTAAAATTCTCAATTAATAAATTATTCTCTATCATCTTTGATATTAAAATGATAGGAATACTTTCCACACCCTGCATAGTACTGGTTGATCTCATAAAGTTAACTAGACCTGACATCATTTTTGTAATTTTACATACAGTGCATATGATGCTCGCTCTTTCCATCTCTCATAGCAGCAAGCCGATTCTGCCACTACCTGTAGCAGCACACCCGGGAGTGGAGAGGAAGAGTGTTTGAATTATAAATAACTAAAACTACAGTGTACAATTCTATTTACCTGTCAGTATTTGCCAAGAGCACACCATTATAACTTGCTTGAAATTAACTACATTAAAGTCTCTACAACAAAAGCAAACCAAAACATTCCTTCAAAAAAGAGAGACGTAAAATAAGTGCAAATACCTAAAATAGGCAACTAAAGCAACTGTTGTGACCTGTATACCTTTAAATAAGGACAAAGATTTATCATAAATAAAAGAATGTTCTCTTTGCTCTTCAAACATTTAGTAAGTATATAATGGTCAAACTTAAGTGCAGATACAATTGTTCTGAGATCCAAGGTGCCAAGTTTCTTTTTAAAAATAAAAAAATTAAAAAAATAAAATGCATTAGTTTTTAGTTCCTATGCAGGATGAAGTACTCCTGGGTCACATATAGGACCCCACCATTCCTTTCTAAATATATTTAAACAAGGTACAGGAACAGCTGCTGTATAATACAGGTATACCTTGTAGTTATTTTGTAGACCAACATGATTTAAGGGTTCTAGTGCAAACTTTATGTAGATGTAATATACAGTATAGATTTATACACTTCACCGCTGTAATTCTTCTGCTATTCTGTACTTGAAACTTGTCCTTTTTTCATTTTAGCTGTTTTAACAGGAAACAACGTTGGCTACTAGACAACCTGCATACATATAAATATCTACATTTAAGCTTTAAAATGAAAATAAATTATAAAAACAGACTCCTTTCCAATTTACAAAATTTTCCCTGTTCCTACATACTGTACAATACATTCAACAATCATCTCGTTTTGAGATTTATGAAGAAAATACTGATGCTTTACACTAAAACCTAATTCACCCCCCTCTGCCTACTTCTAGTACCATTTGCAAATAAATATATTTAACACTGTAGTTAATTTCATTGTTTTGCAGCATACCAAAAAAATTAGTAGTGCAACTTTCTATCCTTCCTTTATACACCTTTCCATTGTGTTTCTTTATATACTAGAAAAATGCTACATAAGCAAAAGCACATTCAGTCATGTATGTTGCTCATTTGGAAACCAGTAACAACCTATAAGCTACTCTATATTGAAAATGCACTAACAGAATAAAAGCAATGCAAGTCAAAAGAATAAATACGAAAAATAGACCTAAAAACTGTATGTTGTCAGTATTGCAATGTATTTTACCATTCTTCATCATATTTTAGGGTGTTACTTTTTTAATATTTAAGAAATTCATTGCAGAACTGTTTGTACTAGCCCTTCCTAGAGAATGTGAGAGCTTTATGTCTGTTCTTTGTCAGCCAAAAGAAGAAAGGAAGCTTTAAGGTAGCTTTAAGGTTTCCCTTGCAGGCTGTCTCAAAGTAAAGACTTAATTCACAAGTGCTGTGCTGGCATCGCCGTCAGCTTTGTGTCTGTTTCAATGGAAAGAGACGGTTGTCAGTTGCAGTGACCATCACAGTATCAGAGCCCTGGAAGTGCTGTTGGTAGCTGTGTATGTGTTCAGATACCTTCTTGCTTGTTCAGTCATGATAAGCTGGTCTTCTGTTTTTCCGTAAACAACTGCTTCCCATTCACAACTTGACTGCATAAAATAAAATTCAGTTAAAAAGAGTCTTTTAACTAACTAAAATACTTGAGCAATTCTCGTACAACCTGTCCGAGTAATAATAAATTATCAAAGTCTAGCAACACTGTATTTTACTGTGAAGGATTCAGTTCTACAATACAATACCTAAAACCTGTGGCAAGGCTCCCTTTCCACCCCTTAATCCAGCTCTCCAGCAGTGAATCTGTGTTACAATTTAAGTTCTAACACACAAAATAAAAAAAAACTCCTAAAAAGAGACCAGTTCAATAATCAATACATAAAAGGGAAGTTAATTAAGTCATCCTCTCTATGGACATCTTCCTCTTTAAATGTGCTATGTTCAACAGGCAGAAAAATATATCATTGACAGCTGCCTGGAGACACCAAGGAAGGCAACATGCTTTGGCAGCTGAAAAAGAATACTGTGAAGGACTTCACTGAACCAAACTGGCAGCTATGGAAGAATGGTCAGTTGTTTGGGGAATATATTAGAAATGGCAAAAGAATTAGGAATAAAAATCATGAATGGAACAATAACTGTGCCACTAGTCCTGCTTCTTCCATGAAGCAAAGCCTCCACGCTTACATGACTTACTGAATCTCCAGCTGGTTTGTAGCAGCTCTACAGTGGACCTGACACTAGCAGACTGTAGCATAATGAGGAATGCAGGAGTCTCTCCCTCCCACATCAAGCCAGAAACAGATCCAAAGGATCAGTTCCACATATAGACATGCAGGGAAAATTAACCATTTGAGTTTCTCTGTAAATTTAGCAGGACTTGATTCACAGAAGGAACTTGGGGTTAGAGAGGCCACTAAACTGAGAGGGAATTTCTCAGGGGAAAGAGAAAAAAAGAGAACGATTGTTCAGTGAGAATATTTGTAAGTATAGTATGACTACACTCGCCTTTTAAGTATTCTTAAGAGCGTAGTTCTGTGCCAGATACATGTATTCAGCTTTGCTGAAATTCACAGCAGTTAAATTCTTTCCTTGGAATACCACAATTAAATGAGGTTTGTCCTTTCTTCTCATAAGAAAGGATCAGAAAGTAATACTGTTGTCTCTGTACTTCAAAACACATAACCATTAAAGAAATTAAGTGGCACATGAAGATCAGGCTCCAGGTGCCCTGCCTTTTTTTGTTTTGTTTTAAATTAATACAGAGCTGTAGATATTCTGAGAAGACACAAAAACTTTACACACTAACTCCCTGTGGGGCAAACTGGAACAGGTACCAAGTCAGGTCAAAGAGAATCTCTCCCTAAACCTGGTGGTCAAGACACACATACACAGAGGATAAATCAGGTTTCACAATTTTAACAGTATGGAAACTATATGAATGTACAAGAACAGGCACATTACAAGTACAATTACCAAACAGAACTTGTGGATGAACTCTGCTTAATAAATCCCCCTGAGCTTGAAGTAAGCATCAGCCAAATTTGGAAAACTTAGGTGCTATACAGATGTTTAATTTGCACCAAGTCAAGTTTTCTTACTGCGTGTAAGGGCTCGTAGGGCTTGGTGTCGTAGGGCTACTCTACCCTGAGTAGGGTCGTAAGGCTACTCTATCCTGATCTTTTTTCACCCGTATTTAAATCTCAGAGGTCACTCAATGAAACCTCAGGGCTGTATTTACAGAACTTAGCCATGAATAAACATTTTGTGGAAAAGTGGCCAATTTACAAGAAAAAAGGATCATGGAAACACTGACCAAAACTAGATCACTGAATTGAACGATTCTAGACATTAGTACAAGACAGAAACCAAAAAGAAATTCTTCGTTAACCTGCTAACAAAACTAACAGAGTTCTGTGCATTCAGACCTGAAGAGTTTTCTCCATTTCGATATTTTTTGAAGCACATGCATTCAGTTTCTTCTTAATTACTGCATTTGCTTTGTTTGCTGGATTTGTATCCTGGTTTTCTGATGTCAAGTTACATCTGTTGTCATGTATTTCCAACAATGGTGTCATTAATAAAGATGTGGTATGTGCATTTTCTGACTGTTGACAAAAAAGAAGGTAGGGAATAGGAATAAGAATTACTATTCAACTTAAAAAAAAAAAAGTCTTCAACTGCTGTGATGAGAGAAGCCAAAATGTAAACAAAGCAAATACAATCAGAAAGACCCTAGGAAAGAATCTGAAAAGAAAAAGTAATGAACAGTGCATGCAGAACCAGCCTGGCCAATACTGGGATTCACAGTCATTACTGAGCACAGTAAAACAAGTAGCTGCTAGCACGATTTGGGCATTACTGAGTAGAGAGTTTCCTTCATATAAAGCCATGCTACAGCTGATTACATTTTGTTAAGAACAAGACTTGATAAAGTGGTAACTACAGAACAGTTTTAAAGAAAAAAACTTGTAATTCACTTCTAGCACAACCTTTGTGAAAGTTAGCACAAGGAGGCTGGAGTAAAAAAAAAATAAAAAAATTAAATCGCATCAGTATCAGGAGGAGGAACTGCTTTAAGAACTGAAATAAGCACTGGATTGATCATTCCAGAAGAGTTTTATATGCAGATAATGTTTATGAAAAAAAAAAAAATTTTAATCCAGCTTCACTATAGCAAGGCAGAAGAAAGGTATATGGCAATTCTAGAGAGCAAAATTAGATGAGAGAAACAGTGGCGTATGTACCTGTTCGCTTACAAAAACACCCCATTAAAATGTGTTAAACTACCTTTACGTATTTATTCTACTTCGATCCTCACCCCTAACTTACTGCCACATGGACACGCAATTTCTACTTAAAGACAGGTACATTTTTCATTTTTAAATCAGGTACTACCACTATCTCTCTTGCTAAGAGCAAATGTTCCTGTTGTACCAACATCCCTCATTAAAATGGAGGAAAAGCAATTTTTTCCCAGTCCACTGCCTTAAATACACCACACCATTCTAGTGTATCTTGGTTTTAGCTTAACCTGAACATCAGTGATGCACAATATACCACGCTGTAACAAGAGGTTACTGAGAGAGCACCAGGCACTTCGTTTCCACTTCGAAGGGCGGCAGCAGTGCTGCTCCTCGCATGACAGAGATGTCTCTGGGGAAGCGGGGAATTCCCACCCGGTGGCAGAGCACCAGACACCCGTCGGGCAGACACCGGGGCCTGGCACAGGGGCTCGGAGGCATTTAAGAAGGGAATTTCAAAAACCAGATGCAATAATGTGAAACGGGTATGACTTGAGCACCCATTCTTCTCAGGGACTTTGGCTCCTACGTCTTGAATATCGCTTTATACCTGATCAAGAGTCGCAGATGTTTGCTCTTTCAGAATTAAACACACAAAGACATTGAGAACTAGATCAGATAAAGTTTTCCTATAAACTACAAGACTAAAGATTAATCTATACAATCACTCAAGTGGAAAAACTACTTTTTAAAGGAACAGGGGACCAAAACAGCCTCATCTCTGAACTCTTGATCTCTTGGTTGTCAAGGCAGAAGTTTTCAAATTTCTTCAGGCAGAGGAAGCCCACAAACCTCGTCTTCTACGTGCCTGGTATTTCTTGAAGTATTCCCCTATTATGTGAAGCGGGAAGGGGAAAAACGTGCTGCCTAATATGCAATTAGGTATCCTCAGAACATGTCTGCCAGACTGTCAAGCATGCAAAACACAAGGGCAAAAATCCCATCTTCCTGGTGTATTACAGAGAGCTTCAGCATGCCACATATGCTAAAGTTTATACATAAACAGCAGGGCAGGATCTTTGCTGTAACAGCAAATCTGCAAAGCATTCATATTACGAGTCCTGCTCTGAAGGCCTGAAAGGAAGAATTCATTGCATGAATTCACGCCCAATGTTCAAGTATTGCTTAAGTACTTAAAGGAGTATTTCAAACTGAAGATGATTTTCACTTTCTAGGTTTATGAATCTAGCCTCAATACAAACACTTTACTTTAGTTCACAGAATGAAAGATACTCATTTCTATATTAATATTGCTGCCAGTGATGCTCTTCAGTAGCTGAAGACTTACCTGTACATCTGAACTATTATCTTCCGTGAAGAGGTGGGCACCAACCTCTGCTTTTTCGCATGGGTCTAGGACCAGTGACTTTCTGACTTTTTTAGAAGAGTTGTGCTGCAACAAACATTTTGCAGAGGAAAACTGTAAAATATTATTTAAAAGTAGTTACTTCCTATTTGAAATTATTATTGTAATGTTACCTCCTGCTTGCAGCTTTTATACACACTGTCGTCTTCCTCCTTGAGAAATATATCTGTTCCAGTTTCCTCTTTCAAAACTTCCCTAATGTCTTCCTCCAAGAAGGCAAGTGGTTGTGACTAAATTAATTAAAATTGGAGAAGAAAACACAGGAAGTATATTAGTTGCTATTTTTTTACCATATTCTACTTTCAGCTAATGTAGGCTAGAAAAAAGATCTTCCAAACTGTAGCAACAGATAAAGGATTTAAGCTATTGTAGTTAACAACTACTCATCAACATTTCAAGGCTATGCAGATTTTTTTTAATTCATTTTACTCCATGTTATTTCTAGCCAGATGAAATACACACATGCACACAGTGCCTCAAAAAATGCAAGGTAGCTTTGAAGAAGACGTACAAACTACCTGTTTGCATTTATTAGCAACGGTTATCCAGTGACAAAAGGGATAAAAACACCTTATATATACTAAACACATACATAAACACATATATGTATATATACATGCATACGAACATACTAAAAAACTGTACTATGAAAGTATGACTGTTGTTGGGAAAGGAATTTATATCAACCTTAACACAAATCTCTGAATAAGACATTGATAGTCCTAAGTACAGTACAGAATTTCACAGAAACCATACAGATGGCTCCTTTGTGTACCAACAGGAGAAGAATTCCCTTAAGCCCTCAAAATTTGATTTTGAACAGGAGATTAATAGTGGACAGAAGCAGGAA